GCGGGAAGAAAAATCGTATGCTCGCAGTGCACGGATTGGAGTTTGGAATAGAACGGTGAAGATTGCGAAAATGAATTGAAATGCCGCAAAAACAATCTTAACATGTGTTATAATCCAAGAGAGAAAGAGTAGGATGAAGAGCAATCCCGATCCTAGTAGAATTCCGGAATTGACGGGAGCGCAGGTCGGGTTGGTAATACGGTCCCAGCAGATAGTACAATCAATCAAACTACATTCATCGTGGGCGGGACATGTTTTTTCCTTTTGGTAAATTCTATTTTGGGAGTCTGCTAATGTAATTTGGCAGTGGTAATCTACGACTAGAAGCTCATGGGGCAATTCATAGTCGATTTTTGGAGCATGCGGCTTTATTAAGCAGTTACCGGCGCAGCATAATTCTAAATTGGCGAATTCGCTGGGGCTGATTACAGTAACTCCGGTTCTAGTGCAGGAAATTTGACATTTCGGGCATGTATTATTTATAGGCGATCCCTGGATGGATGCAAAGCAGAAAAGGAATAATGCCACGTTTAGTAGGGTAGACATGATTGCCCTCGATTTGCTTCGCGTTAACATTCGATGTCTATTTTTCGTCTCTGGTAATCGCGGGGAAGTATCTTTTGTTTCCTCTGGAGCCGGGCCGTCTTGAGACGGGACATTGACATCCGGTTCGGTTGGTCCTATTTCGAGAGGGCACACGTTATTGACTGGGCGCGTGACCGTGTTCCCATTTTGCATTTTAATCTCAACGCTCCTGGTTGCTCCCGGTTTCCCTCCTAATTTGACGATACGTCCCATGGGCCATAGATTTCTCGGAGTATATTTTTCTTCTACAATTACTATTTCTCCAATCCTAGGGGCGGAATGGTTTTCTAGTCGTTTTCCTTTGTGGGCGGTTTGAGTCCTGGAACGTAGTATAAGAAGGTACTCTTTACTCCATCTTTCCCAAAAGAATTCATGAGCCCTATCGGTGGCTATGTAAATTTCGGCTAATTTTTCATGTGAGTCGGGACGGAAAGGGATGTTCTCCAAAAGTCGGTCGGTTGGTAGGTTGAGCTCGATCTTTGGGATGAGAAGATCGGCAGGTCGTAGAGGGAGAAATCCATCCTTCTCGTCCGAAACAGTTGAGATGGGACGAAGATTGAGAGTTGCCTCCACCTTGGCTGTGAAGGTAATGAGGTCGTCGAAATGCAGGATTTCCTTGCCGAGTGTACGTTGGAAGAGTTGCTTGGTAATCCCGATGAGGCGCTCATACATTCCTCCAGCCCATGGACTATAAGCAGGAATGAAGGTCCAATCGATGCCTTTCTTTGCCAATTCGTTGGACGGGTCATTGATGAGAAAGTCGATTGTTTTGTCGGCCAAAATAAAGGAAGGAGCGTTGTCACTGATGACACGTTTTGGTTTTCCACGCCGAGAAATAAAACGTTGAAAAGCATTCATAAAAGCCTCAGCAGATTGGCTTAATGTAATTTCCAAGTGGATGGCACGTGTTGTTAAGCAACAAAATAATAATAAATAAAATTTAGTAATGATTCCATTAATTCGGACAGAGGATGGTCCGGCATAATCAAGTCCAACGGACTCAAAAATCATTTTCCTGAAAACTCGATCATTAGGATAAGGTGGAAAATGAGGTAAAGCATATTTATAGGCGCGCATTCTCTCGCATTTCAGACATGTTCGGATTATTGTCTTGACTGCTTTTCGGGCGTTTGGCGTCCAATATTTAACAAGAAATTCGGTCAAAGTAATATCTATGCCAGCATGAGTTAATTCTTGGTGAATGTCAAAAATGATGAGGAATTTTATGTGAGATGAGCGAGGTAATATAATTGGGCGAGCTAATGTTGGGCACTCGGTTTGTTGCGCAATTCGCGTCTTTAGAAGGAGTAAACCATTTTTGCCGGTTTCCAGTGGGTAGCGCTCGATCTCGGTTATATTTTGCTGTTGCGCAATCTTTATAAGAAGGCAGCCAGCGATTAGATAATCATTTGCGGAGAATGCAGGTTTTTCTCTGCTAGTCGCTTGAGAAATAGAGAGGAGCTCAGGGCGGCGATTCTTTATGAGCAAAGAAGGTTCACGGCCATTTTTAATGAATATCGATTGTAGAAAACGAAGAACCCAAATAGTAGTTCGCCTAATTTTATCCCATGAATTAAATCGCTTAAAGTCGATCAAGTCCGTCGCTTTGGGTGTTTCTGTCTTCCCCTCGGTATTGACTAGGCTGTTGGATAGTTCATACTCGTCGGTAGAGTCGGTTGTATTTAATTTGAAAACTAATGCAGCGGGCCACTCATCCTCGCGTTCTGAGAGCCAGGTGGGGCCATGCCACCAGAGATTGTTAGATTGGAGTTCTGAGGGAGATTTTCCCCTTGTAACCAAATCTGCGGGGTTTTCAGTTGTATTGACGTAGCGGAACTCGCAATTAGATAAAGTCCTAATTTCCTTAGTTCGGTTCGCTATAAAGACCGGTTGGTGGTCCGTTTCTTTAAGCCAGCTAAGTGCAATCATTGAGTCACTCCAAATGACTGTTTTATCTATTTCCCGGTGCAACTCCTTTTGGACGAATTTGGCTGCTCTGACTCCCGCTAGAATTCCTAATAACTCCAGGCGAGGTATGGTAAGTTTAGAGTTTGCTTTGAGTGGGCGCAAACGATTTTTGGAGAAGACTAAAGAGGTGCTAATTCTCCCATCCTCTTTGCTTTCGCTTCGCAAATAAACAGCAGTCCCAAAAGCAAAGTCTGAGGCGTCGGTAAATGTATGGATTTGGACGGTTGGTGAATTTCCGTGAAGGACAAGGCGAGGGATTGAAATTTCGGTGATCCAATCCGACGTTATTTTTTCCCAAGTTTTAGATTCTTCTTGTGGTAGAACGGTATCCCACTCAAAATTTTCTAAAGTCCATAAATGTTGGAAGAATGCCTTGGCAGGGAGAAGGCAAGGGCCGACTAATCCCATCGGGTCAAAACAAGAAGAAATGGTGCCGAGTACGGTGCGGCGTGTAATTGGTTTTGAGAGTGACGGGAATTTAATCTGAAGCGTATCTCGCTGTAGGTTCCAATTAATTCCAAGGACGCGCGGCGTGTCCTGTTCTAGTCGGTCCTCAGGTGTTATTTGGTCCAAAACAGCCCTTTCGTGGGTACAGAATTCCCGCAGGTTCATTTTAGCAGTGGCGAACATTTGTTTAGCCGCTTTACATTTACTAAGCGCTTCCTCTATTGTGTCGCATTCTAAGAGAACATTATCTACATAAATGTTTTCTTTTATTGCGTTGGAAAGGTCGGTTTGTTCCTTTGAAAGGTGATGCCTAATAACAGCCGCTAGGATGTACGGGGAGCTAATAATCCCAAATGCAATTCTTTTGAATCGATAAACAGCTAAGTTGGACGGCGAGAGAGGTTGATCCAAGGTTTTTAACCATAAAAATTTGCAGAATTCTCGATCAGATTCGATTAGTGAAATTTGATGAAAGGCCTTTTCGATGTCGGCCAAGACTGGAATTTTAGTTGCCCGGAAGCGTAGTAATAGGTTGATTAAATTAGGAAGTAAAACTGGTCCCCGAAAGAGTGATTGATTGAGTGAGGGCAGTCCTTTCGGATGAGCGCTTGCATCATAGACTAAGCGGATTTTCCCTTTGTTAAATACTGCATGATGCGGAAGAAAGTGTTCCTGCATGTCTGGGTTGCATTGGGTGAATTCAATTACTCCGCGTTTAAGTTGGTCCTCTATCGCTTTCTGGTATTCCTGGGCTATTTCGGGCGCCCCTTCTATTCGCTTGAGTACGGATGATAAGCGCTTGTAAGCCATGTCAAAATTGGAGGGTAATTCCGACGGGGGTCCCGAAGCTCCTTCTGGTGATTTCCAAGGAAGTCCGACCATGTATCTCCCGTCCGGCTCCTGGGTTATGGACTGTTCGACTAATCTAGTGGCGATTTCGTCGTCCTTATTTTCTGGGCTGTCAGTAATGCCCATGGACTCCAGGTTCCAAAATTGCTCTATTTCATTACTGGCAGGCATTTCTTCCGGTGAGCTATGCACGGCGGCAAGAGAAATGCAGGTTAGAGAGGTAGGTGAAATATAGTGGGGTAATTCACCGCAGAGCATTGAACCAAAGTGTGTCCTTATAACGTGTAGATTTCTGCCTATTTTCTTGAATCCTAAGAAGAATCTCCAAAACTCTCTAACTCCTAGTAGAATTTCCGGTTCCCTATCGTTGACGGGAATACTTTTCAGGTCTCGGTGGTTAGTCGGGATCCGAGTTCCATCCCACTGGATACAGGGAAATGCAGGGACGATTTGCGGAATTGAGCAAAATACAGCTTCATCCCATCTCCCATTGGGCTTATGGAGCCTAATCTTATATCCGGTGGAGCGAAATTTGACTGTCTCGGCGCCAAAAACGCGTACGGAGTGGTTGGAGCTAGAAACTTTAGATGGTCTTAAACGGTCGACCAGAGATTGAGAGATGTAGGAAGTCTGAGATCCGGTGTCCCAGAGGCCGACAGTAGTATAAATTTTGCGGTTATTTCCAGAGCTTATTGCTAGTTCGCAAGTCATCAGAAAAGTATGCGGTTTCGACTCGGTAGCAGTCATAGCCATTTCCGGGTTTGCGGGAACATTCGGGTTTGTTCCGGGTAGATTTTCAGAATTTATTCGCGAATTGCTATAAATTTGTGCTGGCCGGTGAGCAGGGTAATTAGCAGGAGAAAAGTTTGAATTGCTTTGAAAGGAATTTGTTTGTCCATTAGTAGAATGATTAAATGTTCTATCAATTTCTCTTCCCCTTTGACGGCTGCAGACGATAAAATGGTGCTTGCCGCCACAATTCCTACATCTTTTGGGCGACTCGCACTGGCTTATTTGATGTCCCTCGCGTAGGCAATTTAAACACCTGCGTTGAGCTATTAAGCGATTTTTGCGGCTATCTGGTGTTTGGAATCTGCGGCAAACAGAAGGAAGGTGACCGCCATTACAAAGTGAACATTGGCCAGAATTTCTTTCAATAGCTGCGAAGGCGCGGGTAAAGTTAGCTGGTTTGGAATGTGTCGGTCGGTGACTCTTTTGTTGGGGAGTCGGCTGGCGCTCATCCATTCTAATTGACTGTCCTTTTAGCCTTTTTGTACTCCTTTCCACCTCTTCTTTTATGGCCACTTGTTCAAGGAGAAAATTCCTAAGTTCCTTATGTGTCCATTCGCCTGCGGCCGTACTTCGCTCCCTTTCTATGATTTTTTCAATAAGGGTGGATGGAAGTTTGGCCTTAATAGTGGTGACTAAAAGAGACGCGTCTTCCTTTGTTCTAAAATTGGATTCCAATTGCCTGCAAATTCTTTCTATATTGTCACAAAAGGCGCGAAGTGAGTCAGCAGAGTCTTTTGTAGCTGGCAGTTGAAGGAGCTCTGATTGGAGGGTTTCCCTTAGGTTGCGGGTGCTACCGTATCTCCCTTTCAAACATTCTACTATAATTGGGTAATTCTCTGCTATTCTCATGAATCCTTGGACGGTTGCCTCGGCTGATCCCTTGAGCGAATTAGGTACTTTATGGATATGTCACCCCCCCTCCTATTTTGAGTCTCAGAGTTTTCCTTAAACGTAGAAAATGGTCAGAGATTATTTTCTTCTCCATGCCAATCATTTTTTTCTTCAAGTAAAATAAGTGAAATGTATAAACGAAATGAGTGAAATGTAAGTACAAAATATGTGAAAAGGCAAAATAAACAAGCGAAATACTTGTTGAAGAAAAAAATGATTGGCATGGAGAAGAAAATAATCTCTGACCATTTTCTACGTTTAAGGAAAACTCTGAGACTCAAAATAGGAGGGGGGGTGACATATCCATAAAGTACCGCGAATTACACAAATGATGGATTTTCAGCGCGTCCGGAATATTCGGGTTATTGTGGATGGCCAACTCAAAGCATTGCCAGAAGCTAGTCCATTTTTCTTGCTCGCCGAAAAACTTTGGGATTTCCATAGGCGCTATTTTAAAAGAGTCGTAGGCTGGATTGCGGGTTTCCTGTGCGTGGAGTCCCTGTGAATTCTGTGACCGTCCGGAATGGAGTGATGCGCTGCGGGATCTAGCCCTCGACTGATGGTTACTAGAGTTGGTATCCCGTTCGATAATATCGTCGATTGTATCGACCATGGCCTGTGCCTCTATAACCCACTCGGTGAAGTGTTTGTAGGCTCCTACTTGTGGATCATTTTCTCCCGGGCGTTGGAAATTGTCATAAATTCTTTCTTCCGCTACTAGGTTTTCCGGGTCGATTTGGCGCATGAATCCCAGCCATTCCCGATTTAAACTGTCTAGTCTTACGATACTACTGCTGAGCTGCTTTCGAAGGGTGCGCAGACGGTTTATCTGTGGGTCTTCCAAAATTTCCTGCTGTGCAGTGATGATATTGTGGGACTCATTGATGGTATTCTTGATGAATTTAATTGTAGGGCCGATCATTTGCCGAATTGGTCCTGATGACATTGTTGGATGGAATTATGTAGACTTGTTGAATTGCGACGGTTGATTTAATGAAGAGAAGTGTAGACCGAAGAGTTGTGATGGTTGAGAAGTCGACGAGTTGGTTGAAGTGACGACTGTAGAATTGAGTCGAGTTAGCTGGAGTGAAGTGATTAGTAGAAGAGTAGATTTAGTTGGTTGAGAAATGTTGTGTAGATCTGCCTGTGGGGAGGTTAAACAGAAGAGAAAATATTTAAATTTAATTTAATTGAAATTGAATGAAGAGAAGGGGCTCCCGGGTCGTGGCACCAAAAAGTTTGTCGCTGAAGAAACGAAAATGGGGTGTGCGGCGCGACAAGGTGTGAAACCGCACTGTCGGGAATTGAAATTGATGGTCCCGGGAAGTCCCTTAATTCTCCAAAGATGATCCGCTCTCGAGGGCGAGTGGATGGAACCAAAGCTCTATTGGCGAGCTAGAAATAATGCCTAAGGACGGCAATTGGAGGAGTACCAAACAATAGAATAAGAACAATTAAATTAAATATATTTATTCAAAAAGGACCTTAAACTTGGGTAATTAAACCAAAACAAAAGAAAATGTGTGAAAAAGAGTAAAATGATTATAGGCCAAAAAAAATGATTAAAAAGTGATTAATTGAAAATGGCCTAACAATTGTAAAAAAGGATCTTTAGGCCTCAGTTTTAGATAAGTTTAGAATTAAATAATGAGAGGCCTAAAGAGTTAAAATTCAAGCATGAATAAATCAAAAAGTCGAAATTCTTAACTCTAAATAATTAGATTGGTAAATTAGAAATTCAATTAAATGACAGGCAAAAAATACTATTTCAATAAATTAAAATGCAGGTGGCAGAAAAATAGTAAAATGAGCTTATCGGAGAAGCTTAAAAAATAAATAAATGATTAATGGAGAACCACTTTAGTGAAAAGAATGCTTAAAAAAGGGGTGTGGTTAAACATTGAAATATGCGGCGGTTAAGTTAGAAAAAACATTAAAGCATGAGGGACAACAGATCACCAAAAAACTAATCAAATTTATCAATCAGACGTCGCTTCGGCGACAAGTTATTAGAATAATAAAGAGAAGTTGACGTCAGTCGGGTTTTCTCGAATCTACCGTGGCAGCATCAATAAATAATTTCGACAAGTGCAATGTATCTCGGAACAACATTTCAACAACGTAGACATAATATATTCGAGAAGAGTCACTGCTTAAATTATTATTTACTTATTTTGATAATATCTTTATCAATTTGATATCAACTAAATCACTAATTCAAAATGGGACTATATTTGAAAATGCAGGTATTAGTCGATTTAAAAATTATTTATAAATGCTAACAAATTTTTAATATTTTCTTAATGAAACACATTATCAATCTTTTACCCATACAGCTAAAAAGTCCGTAACTATAAATTTAAGCGAATTCATACGAATTTTATTATAAAATACCATAAAAAATAACTATAAATTACATATAAGTTAATATTAACATAGTTTAAATATATGGATAGATATTATGATTGTAGAAGGGCTACTGTGGCAATATCTCGAGCGAAGCACGGCATGATGATCATGATTATGTTATTATTAATTAAATAATCATTTTTAGTTACATTCGATTAAATTTAAATAATTATTTAATGAATAGCCACGTAAAATGTCCATAATTATTTCAAACCAAAAATTAAATTTGCATTTCTTATAATCTTTTATTATATATGATTTATATTTTAAAAATAATATTAAAATTAATATTAAGCTAATGTACACTAAAATAACATAGTAAAAATAAAAAAAATTAATTAAATAAAATGATGTAAATAGAATAAAAAAACAATTATTTTTTATAAAAAAACAAAAATTACTAGATATAAAGATGGATTATAAAAACCAGTTTTTAATTTTTAAAGTTTATAAATTGCAATTATTTCTAATTAATTGAACAAAATTGTGAAATATGCTAGAATTGACAGAAGTAAGTAAGTATGAATGTATTAAATTTAAATTATATCCACATGAAAGTATTATTTTGCTTTGCACGCTAAGACTCCGATATCGCAGCAAAATATCTCTGATGAGTAGAGACAATTTATTCAAGCATTTACATCTTACTTTTTTAAACTTTTCTCCAATCGATAAAATAACCAAATTACATTTTGTTAATTTGATAACATTTAATGTGTAACTACAAAAAAGGAAAAAGATTATTTAGTTCGCTAAAGTTTTGAACTGAAGTAATTCTTTGCCCATTTCGCAATTATTATGGAATTACATCTGTAAACCTATCTAAATCTATATAATATCAGAACTAGTGAGTTTAAAAAATGTCATATAAAATTTTTATATTTGACGAAAGACCCGATTTAGAAAATAGCTATAAAGTAAAAGTAACAAAGATATACATACATTATATATTTATTGAAATGATTTAATCTTTCTACGTGAATAAATTTGAATTTCAAATAAAAATGAAAATATGAAAAAAATAAAAGCAACATTAGTTGTAAAACAAAATATGCAAATGTCTATAATAACTCATTTATAAAAAAAATTTGCACCTATTCCTATAGGTATTTCATGAATTATTAATTATTTTATTATTCGACTCAAGAACACTTGTTTATTATATCAGGTTAGAATTATTTAAATAATTTATGTAATAAAAATCCGAGGCAACATTGTGCCACGACATGGGGTATTTATATGAAATTATATTTATAAAGCATTTGCTACGACCTGGGAAAAGAACAATTAAAAAATTGAATTTTTAGGTTTCTTTTGTAAAATATCTAAAAAATTTACTAAAAGGGAATAAGATGAACTTTATCGTCAAATTATTTAAATAATCGGAAAAATACATTAATAATTATGCATCAGGAACCATTAATCATGAAATTGTAATTAATAATTAATTTTAACAAATATAATGTAGTGAATTAAAAAGATAAATAACGACACTGTGATTTTATAATATAATTTAATCCCGTACCATTATTGTCAGCTTTATATTCTTGCTTTAACTTTTCTTTTTTAGTTCGCATTCATTATTATTTTCCTGTCTTATTTCCTTCTTTATTTCTGGTGTTTGTCCCCTTCCCCATTTCTGCATGTTTGTTCCTATTTTATGCTTTGTCCCAATATTCTAAAAGATATTTTCGATACGGAAAATCTTTTGGTCACTTTTGGGTCACTTTATAATATAAGTTATAAACGAGCAAATTAATCATTTGCTTTTAAAATTTGGAAACGTCAAATAAAAATATTAGTTAATGTTGTTAAATCATTTGATGCTTCAAAACATCATAATATATTTCAAAAATTGTATTGTTATTGTTAAATTATATTTGTCAAAAAATTTGTAATAAATAAAAAAAAATAAAATTAAATTTAAAAATAATATAATATATTTAATCAAGCAAAACAGCTCCCAACTCTTTATAAAAGCTTTGATACAAAACGTTGAATATAAAAAATAATGTCTCTAAATAATAAAACTAAAAGATAAATATAATAATTATCTTGTAATTTTGAATTAAATAAATTTGAATTAAAAGTACTTTGAAACATGAATCACAAATCATCAATAATTTTGAAACTATTGATTTATTGTTGATAATACGATATATATTTTGCACTTGACTTACTACATCAAAATATAGATTATAAAATCTAGCAACTTATATCAGCTCATATTAATAAAATTCTGTTAAATATTTATTAAAAATGTTTTCTTTAGATAATGAAAAAGATTATTTCAAAATAATTAATTGTAATTGTAAGATCATGTTAATTAAAAATGTCATTTGGTGGAGAATATTTCAAGGATGGTAAACTTCCAATTATTTAATTTATTAAACTAAATTAGCCAGAGTTATTTTATGATAATGAGCAGTGATTTCAAAGTTCCAGTCCAGTTCCGGAACTAATTAGTTCTCGTTCCAGTTCCGGAACTAGAACTACGGAACTAACGATTATCTGGAACTAGAACTACAGAACTAGTAAATCCTGGAACTAGCTTGGAACTGGAACTACTTAACTAGTAGATGTCTGGAACTAGCTTTGGAACT